TTTTTTACTAGCCATATAGCCATATATACATTGCAAAATGGTTCCTGTTCTTGAAACTTGGTCAACCCACTGCAGCTTTCAGACTTGTTTTCGTTAAATGCCTACACCACTGAGGTGGTAATAAAGAGATTTTACCACGTCCAACTCCAAACCCTCAAAAAACATACATCTCTACAGGAAAAGTTTAATTAAGATCCCCAGATATCCTTCGGGATATAAACCTTTTTTTAAAAACGTAAAAGAAATTCTACTGACTCTTATAGGGTTAAACATAAATCCCATTATTGGCCCCTTGACATGTTTTGGCCGATGATTACATGTTCAACTTACAGTGAAAGAGCCGTCAGGACACCGGGTTCAGTGCAGAGCTGTCTGTCGGTTCTTAGAACTTTCTCTTTCGAACTTCCGTGTTCGAACGTTCACGTAACATACAGACATGCTCACACTTCCGCGAACTCTCCCACGGGCCAGGGGGGTGGAAATCACTGAGGTGCCACCTCACAGTATAGCAGCGTAGTTAGGGCAGAGGTTAAGCCCACAATTCTTTTCATTGAATTCAGATAATGCATTCATTTTCATTTTGAGGTGTTAGCTCGCAACTGTAGCTAAAGCACAAAGTATTCCATACATTATGGAGTCATATTCCTATCTGACTGTATTCTATGAGGGTTATGAATACAAATATTTCAGGAACTAAGTTCTGAAACCTGAGCCATCAGCATGGTAATTCGATTTGTTTCCATATTTATTTACTAATCCCCATTTTGATCTTTGCCTATAAAAATACTCCTTATTCAGAGCCCCCTTCATTCCTTTTTATATACATACTGTACATAGGTTGGAGGTATGCAGCTACTGAAACAGCTGCTGCCACTAATATGAGACAGTAAAACCTCCCATCCCTGGTCTTCCTTGATACACTTTATCACACTAAACTTCAACCCTTGATCTATTACTCCTTACTCTATTATTAAACACTTTACTACACTAAGACTATCATTAAAAACACTAACCATCCTTGCAAACATCCACAATTTTAGCACAATCAAATCACTAACTAAAATGTTGCTGTTGGCTGTGCTATTTTATGTAAAGGGGTTCTATAGTGTAAGGAATACAAAGCTGATATCCTTACACTATAGCTCCCTCTGCCCCCTCCCTGACATTGAAAGGGTTTAAAAACCCTTTCTGTACTCGATCTCTGATCTCCCTGGGTTGGTGCTCCGCCTCTTCTGACATCACCCAATGGGGGGGATAGTTCACAGGAGCGGCGAGCGCCTAGAGCACATTAGACCCTCCCCATAGGAGGTGCCCATAGTGTCCCTTTTAACAGGCATAGGCAACCTTCGGCACTGCAGATGTTTTGGACTTCACCTCCCATGATCCTTTACTAGCATTATGAGTGTAAGAGTATTATGGGGCATGTAGTCCACAACATCTGGAGTGCCAAAGGTTGCCTATCCCTGCTCTAAAGAGATGAGTTTTTAAAATTTAATTCACAAACTTTGCCAGCCAACACCGGACAAAGTATATAAACTAAAAAACCACTTGCAGTGCAGGAGCTCACATGGCACTGCTGTAGAAAATGAAGAGTTCACATGCACTCACATGGGAATTTCTCTGTGAAACACCCGAACATGCATGATTTTTTACTTACCAGTGCTGCTATCTTCTCCTCAGTAAATGCTGAAATATTATTTACTGAGCAGAGATGAAGGCAGGATTAAGGTAGAAAGGGCTTATTTGGAAAAAGGAAGGAAGATGAAGCTGTTGCAATCTTTATTCTGAGGATAGGATGATCAGGCAAGTGCACACAATTACCAAGGAACAACACGTGTTTAACGCTTCACTGCTCAACACTCAACAAAGAACGGGGCAAAAACTTTATAGTACCATAGACAAAGAACACATTGAAGGCATTTAAGGATTAAATCTCTAACACCCCACTTGCTTTCCGCATGTGTTATTCAAAACAGAATTTTTTTTTTCTTTTGGAAAATGACATTCCAATTTCAATATGTTTCCATCTTTGATGACAAACGGGATTCCTTGAAAGAGTTAATGCTCACTGATTATCCCCAAAAACTTGCACTGGTTCATATTGACATTGATTGTCCATTCCCCTGAGCAACTGCATCAGATACCACATTTCTTGTATACTGACAGTTAAACTCATGTAGTCAGCTTCGTAAAGCTGCTGTGGACTGTTTCTTAGAGTTCAATGAAATCAGTGAACCCTTCTGTAACGGCACCCCGGGCATAAAAGGGTTAAACCGCCGTTTAGAAGATCTTCCCCTTCCAGAGACACAGGCACAGCTACTGCAGAACAACAATCCGCCGAACAGGAAAAGCATATGAATGCCGTAAACAGCCGAACCGGAACCATACGAATGCTGTAAACAGCTGAATAGGAAAAACCATACAAATGGGTTTACACTCCTAGCAGTCAAACTGGAACAGCATACAATAAATCCCCCCAAGAACGAGACAAGGCTCCGTTTTGAGGGTCAAGCAGGAACAGAGAGAGCTGTGGGTTTATTGTTCTTATATACACCTTAGTACCACCCACAGGGTTTTGGAACACAACCAATAAACACATACAATACACTCAGACACTCCCACACAAAATCCTCCCCTCTGCCTGTGATACAATTACCTTACACAATGGGTAATGTAATTATCACAAGCAGAGAAATACAATTTTTCCACATTATTCATAACTTGAAAAGTATGCATCACATTCACATACATTTTCAGAATCAGCATACTCCAAATACAAACATATGTCAAAATCATCCAAATTGGTCCAGTGGTTCAAAAGATAGATCGTAGTCCTTTGTGACCAAAGGAAGCATGGCTTTTCTCCCCAAAACCAGTTCCACAGAGTCTTCTATCCTGGAGATAATTGGGAAGTAATCCAATTATCTCCAAGGACAGAGGCAAAACTCCATTAAACACATGGCAGCAAAAGACAATAAAATACATAAAAATATATAACTGTGCAGCCATTGCACAAAACAGGTACATTCAACATATCCCCAGATAGCTCAGATCTGAACACACATTATTACTCAATGGCGCTCAGAGCACACACATACGGTTCAATTGCCATGGAGCCAAAGTCTTTCCCATAGTCTTTCATTATACGAATGGGCTCCATGGCATAGCTATCTGGGGTATCACCGCTCAAACAGGGCAAGCACCAAATGACCCGGCTTTCATGTCTTTGCAGGGGGAAAATCAAGCCTTTTAACATGGGGCCATAATCCAAAGGTAACAGGCGAGCAACCAGGCTTCTCCAATGCAATGTGGCGAGATTGGTCTCGTCACATCTCTGCCCTTTTCCAAACAGACTAACAGGGTATCTGACCTCCTGCTGGTCCGTGCCCTTGTTAGTCTAGCAGCCCACCAACAACACACAAACAGTAATACAGCCCACCCACAATAAATGGTTACTACACCTGGGTAGAGGAGAACTTTGTCCATGTCCAGGTGCCTCACCACGGCTGTTTGGGTGACTGGTAAGCTGACTTGGTGGGTTGCTGAGTGGGCAGAAAACATCCTGTTGTAATTACCTTTCCTAGAGTTCATAGATAATCTCTCTATGGCTTGGAAGGTAAGGTGAGTGGGGTCACCGCTCTGATGTAATCTCACATGATTTCCGACAGGGGTTGAGACCTTCAGGTTGGCAATGCAACAAATATGTTGGAGAATCCTTCTTTTGAATTGTTGGTATGTTTTACCAATGTATTGAATCTTACAGCTGCAGGTTATCAGATAGATGACTTTGGTAGAGCTACAGTTGATGAATTATTTCACTTTGTATACCTTTGATGTTGTTGTGCTCACAACCGTTTTGGATGGTTTAATGTATTTGCAGGCCTTGCAATGGCCACATTGGTAAGTCCCTGCTGTTGGTGTAAGCCATGTTGGATTGTGAGTATTGGGTTCGATATGGCTGTGAACCAGATAATCCCTGAGGTTTCTTGCTCTGCGTGCAGTGATGGTTGGAAAATTACTGATGTTATCTTTTAGATCTTTATCGTACTGTAGAATGGGCCAATTCTGTGACATAATTTCCAGAACTGGTTCCCAATATTGATCGAATGTTCCAATGCAGCGGATGCATTTTGAATCTGTTTTAAGTCTCTGGCTGCGTAGACTCTCACTTCTGTTAATTTCAGATGCCTGTTAGTATGCTCTTTTCAAAATTTTGTTAGGATAGCCTTTTTGTTTAAACATCATGCGCAGTTTTTTGGCTTCCTGATAGAATGTTTCATCGTTGGAACAATTGCGTCTAGCCCGAAAGTATTGCCCATATGGAATACCTGATTTAAGTTTAATTGGGTGGTGACTGGTCCAGTTTAATAAACTGTTTGTTGCGGTGGTCTTCCGATATAATTCCGTTTCAATTGTTCCATCAAGTAGAATCTTAATTTTGAAATCTAGGAACACTAATTGTTCGTCATCAATTACATGCGTCAATTTAAGACCGATGGTGTTATCATTAAGTAAATCAACCATTTCTTCAAATTGGGTAAAGGAACCCAACCAAAAAAACAAGATATCATCAATATATCTATGCCAATTGTAGATATAGGACTGATATGTATCTTTAATGGTAGGTTCCAGAATTGTTTCCTCCCACCAACCCAGGTACAAGTTGGCATAGCTAGGGGCGCAAGCTGTGCCCATAGCAGTGCCCCTGAGTTGGAGGTAGTATGTTCCATTAAACACACAGAAATTATGTGTTAGAACATACTTTAAAAGTTGGATAATAAATTCACTTTGTGGTGGAGTGAATTGCCCAGATTTCTGCAAGAAGTATCCAGTAGCTAAGAGACATCAAGGCTTCCTAGACGACAGTAAGGTGGTACTATAAGGTTCTCTAGCAAAATTAGTGTTTGCTTAGTATCTTGGAGGTACGATTTTAGGCTGATTACTAATGGATGTAGTAGTTTTTCCAAAAACTGACTGCTTCTTTCAGTAATAGAGCCATTACCGTACACTATTGGTCTCCCTGGTGGATTGTTCATATTTTTATGTATCTTTGGAAGGCAATACAGAGTAGCAATAGTTGGAGTAAGATGTGGTAGTATAAATTTATACTCCTCACTGGTTATGATGTCATTCTCTAATGCCGAATCCAAGATATGTTTTAATTCACTGAGATAGAGTGTGGTGGGATCGTTTGATAATTTTCTATATGCTGATGAATCTTTTAGATGTTCCATACACATCTCTATAAAGTGTTCTCTGTCCATTATGACCACATTACCGCCATTATCAGAAGATTTTATGATGATGTTTTGATCAGTATTTAGTTCCTTTAACGCCTTACGTTGTTGTACAGTAAGGTTGTCGTGTTGGATTTTGGGAATGATAAGAGATTCAGTTGCAGATGTAGTCATTTGAGTGAACAGATCTACACTAGATACTTCACTTAGGTTGGGAGTGAACCAACTTTCAGGTTTCAAATCCGTTAATTTTGGATCAGGATTTTGTTCGTCCAATAAGGATAGTAACGTTTGATGAAGCTGGAAATCTTCATAGGACATACCTATTTCTTTTGCCGTTTTTTGATCCTTTCTTTTATGCATCATGTTAAGGGCTAATTTACGGCCAAAGAGGTTCGTATCCTTAACCCAGTTAAATTTATTGGTATTGGGAGTTGGTACAAATGATAAGCCTTTGTTGAGCAGTGAGATGTGGTGTTCTTTGAGGTTAAATTTAGATAGGTTGATAATTTGATTTGGGTTGTCACACATTAGTATTGGTTCCTTCTCCTGTCTGTTTTGTACCCCCATTTTTTTCGATCCCTTAGCTTTTCGCGCTGAGGGAGGGGCCAATCTGCGTCTAAAAAAGGTAATTACAACAGGATGTTGTTAATGAAGGAATCAAGATGGATCTATCATTTCAAAACTCTGACTGCTAACGGCCTAAATGAGGAGTTTAATTTTACTCCCTTTATCCACAAATAATACATATTCATCTTTAACATTATAGCAATAACTATAATGCAGGCGACCGTCATATACTGTTCATTCTTAAATTAAATATCCTTGAAAATATTCTTACAGTAGATTTTTGCATTATGATATTTATTCTCTTTCCATTTCTTCTGGGTATTTACATATTCCACCTAGGCTCAGCATTAGGCGAGTTTTAACTTAAACATATGCTTTTTCGTTTTCATTGATGTACCCATCCTTAGTTTACTATTTATTATTTATTATATTTTTTCCTTTCTTTGGTGACAAGATACATACTCATCTTCTTTATACAACTCTTATATCAACGTTATTTAACTCAATCAGGTTTATATTTTATATACTGTACCATATCTGTGAACATTTTTTCTTATCATTCATGGACAATTCTGTTAATTCTCTATTCCTGTAATCAATTTTCATATTATATTTAATCTTGTCTTTCATGGTTAATAATACACTGTACCATTCTTGAGTATGTTCTTTTTGTACATTTATTATTTATGGATATATCTGTGTTAATCCAATAATCTTGTAAATAATTTAACACTATATTCAGTCTTGTGTTTGTTCTTTAGGGTTAATAATACACTGTACCATATTTGGGAACATTTTCCCTTCATATTATTCATGGATATATTCTTGTTAATCCCCCATTCCTGCACTATCCTCATTCTAATAAACAAATAGATTCCACTAAGGCTTCTTCTTAAACCATTCTAGTCTGTTATACATTATTCTTATTTTCAGATTATTCCATTTCTAATTTGACAGTATTAACTATACCTCTTCTTTCCTTATTTGAGATGCATCATCTCCCATATAATCACTATGTATCTAGATATTTTATTGTGTCATATTTACTAACATTTGGACTCTACATCCACCTGCAGTGGTTACTTCCACTGCTCTAATTCAGTTTCTTTCGCTTTGATATATTTTCGTCATTGTTTCCCTCTTTCTCTGGGACCTTAGGGGTTAACATCCTCCCTTTTTTTGACGTCACGAAATGGGCGGTTCTATCTCCATGACGTCAAATTATTCACCAATCAGATGCATCCTCTGTTAACCAATCACGAGCTATCTGCTCTCTTTTAAACCGAGTGTTTCACAACGACTGGTTCCCTTCTGACGTGCCTGGTCGGGTGAAACGCGTGCGTTAAGGGAATTATTATGCAGCTTATTATATTAAGTTGATAACTACCCTCTATGTCTGCACTCTACTCCTTCTATACACTTTACTAGGGGGGTTGGATTTAGGTGCCCTTGAAGGCACGGGGAGGCTATCTACGGTTAGTTTATTTAGTGATATTGTTCTCTTCATGGATTGCTATCAATCTCCTCTTTCTCTCCTTGTTATCCTGCGAGCATAGCACAACAGTGCGTTCTCATGACCTAGAGTCCTGCCAGCATCCATCTAAGCCTATATCTAGTACTCTGGCTATTCATTTGAACCTTTGGTTACTTTAACAAGAGACTATAACATTTAGGTGTACTATTTAGTATCACTGATAAAATCTATTTCCATTTAACCTTACAGGCCAATGTCACAATTCTAAACTTCTCTGTGTCACACAGAGGTTCACTGGCAGTTTAATATACAGTAAACTGACAGTGCAACCAAATTGGTAACAATTACTGATGAATTGTTACATTTTACCATCTATGCCTATTTACTGAGCCTGTCGCTTTCACACTTTGTATCAAGGCTCTTTTTACTGAGGCAGTTCCTTTGTTATACATACACATGATTCATATCCTCTACACCTCAGGGTACCTTATCCTTCCCCCTTCAATATTCCACGTTTATCATAATTCTTGTGAAGCACAGAACAATTAGAGTGCAAATTTAGAACTTTTTAATCTTTAGTTACCAAACTATGTTTTTTATTTTAATCATTCATTTCAGGTTTTTCCACCTTATTTAGTTTGGTGTTACACTTTGGGTGATTGCCAATTCCCTGGTAATTTTTTTTTTTTTTTTTATTAAGCAATTTTCCAAGTTTACAGTGAACATTTCTTTGTGCAGTTTGCAGGTCAAGTTATTGTCATGGGTAGAGAAATACATTGTCATATTGTTGGGTTACAGACATGTTTAACATATTGTTCACTCCAAACAGTTTCAATAGTGTATCAACAGGGAGAAAAGGGTGGGGGTAAGAGGGGGTTGAGAGTCCAAGTTCGAGTTGTTTAGTGTTTGCTTTCGTTTGGTTAGGTAGGGGGGAGGGGGGAGTTTTGATGTCTTGAAGTCTTTAAGGGCTCGCCTTGTGGGGTGTTTTGTCTCCCGATACTTTATTATATTGTTATTGTTACCTGTGGTCGTGCAGGTGGCATGGTGGCTAACTCTATAGTGGTGATCTCGGGTGGTGAGGTTTCGGATTATGTGCTATGATGTGGTAGGGGAGGGGGGGTTTGTCTTCGAAGGCCCCCCAGGTTTGCCAAGCTGTTTTCCAGAAGGTTGCTCTAGTAGGGGAAGCTGTTCTGCTTGCTAGTTTATAGAGTTTAGTGGTGTTTATAAGTTGTATACATTGTGGCATGGTTGGTGCTTCGACTTTTTTCCATGACCTGCTAATCAAAGTTAGGTCCGCTATGTTGATTTGGTAGATCAGGTATCTAGTTGTTTTAGGTAGTTTTGGTGGGTAGTTGTGGAGTAGTAGGCAGTCTGGGGTTTGGCGGATGCCTGTGCTGGCTTGGATTAGATTTGTCAGCGCGGACCAGTAGGGGTTTAGTGCTGGGCATGTCCACCATATATGGATCATTGATCCGGCTGTCGAGGCGCAACGCCAACATTTGTCAGAGGCCTCCGGGTACATCCGTTTGAGGCGTGTGTGCACTAGGTACCATCTATATAGGATTTTCCTGGATAATTCAGTGTGGTTGGCACTGAGTGTGAGGGTTTTGGGAGTGATGAATATCTTTCTCCACATTGCCTTGGGGAGGGTTTGTCCTAGGTCTTTTTCCCATGCTATGACGAAGGGGTATCTAAATGTGGTATTATGCTGCAATATGTTGGTGTATAGCATTGAGAAAGTTTTTTGTGTTGGCATCAGTTTAAGTATGGTTTTCTCAAAGCTTGTCAGTTGAGGTTCGTTGGACTTAACCTTTAATTCGCTTTGGTGTTTTGTTACCCAAGAGTGAATTTGCCTATGGGAGAAGTGGGCTGCTGTTGGGAGGCCATAGAGGCTTTGTACCTCTGTAAATGTTAGGAGGTGATTCTCTTGGTACAGTTGATGAATGTGATGTATACCATGTCGTTCCCATATTTTGTGGTTAAAGTTCGGTATCATGGAGGGCATGGCAGATAATGGCATTGCTCTAGAGTGTGGGATTTGTGAGCAACATATATGTTTGTTTTTTTCCCACACTCGTAGTGTTGCCTCAGTGGTCGGCAGTAGTTTGGTGTGTTGTGGTCTGCTTTGTTTGGGGGCCCAGATTAGTGCCATAAGGGCGTGTGGTTTGACTGCATCTCTTTCTATTGTTACCCATTGAGGGGGTGGGATTTGACTGTGAAGTGGTATCATGCTGTTTAAAATGGCTGCCTGGTAATATGTTTGGAGATTGGGTGCATTCATTCCACCTTCGGGGGTTTTTTGGTAAAGAATGTGAGCTCTCACTCTTGGTATCTTGTGATCCCAAGTGAATTGGTTGAGTAGTTTTTGTGCTTCCTTGAAATATGTGGTTGGGAGGTGGATAGGTAAGGTTCGGAATAAGTATTGGAATTTGGGGATTATCATTTTTATGGCAGCTAGTCTGCCGGTCCATGAGAGGTACTTTTTTCGCCAGCTAGTTAATATGGTTCGAATTTCCTTTAGGAGTTTTTGATAGTTACCTTTATATAGGCCTGGGGCAGTGGGTGTGATGGTCAGTCCTAGGAAGGTGAGGTTGTCTGATTTCCACTCAAAGTTGTATTGTTTTGTCAGGGTTAGTGGTGTGTGTTTGGGTGTGTTTAGGCTTAAGGCTTGTGTCTTGGTTAGGTTGAGTTTGTAATAGGAGCATCTGCTATATTCCTGTAGTATTTGAAGGGATGTGGGGATAGAGCTGTGGGGGTTAGTGAGTGTGAGCAAAATATCATCTGCGAACAGTGTGAGTTTGTACTCGTGCTGTCCGATTTGAACTCCATGAATATCTGTTTTTTTTTCTGATTAGTGCTGTGAATGGTTCTAGCGCCAAAACATATAACATCGGGGAAAGGGGGCACCCCTGCCTTGAGATAAACGCATCCGGAAATCCATATTTCTGCAGGACCGCCAGGAGGGAGGGCCAGTGCAGTCTGTCGAACGCTTTTTCGGCGTCAAGCGAGAGAAATACACCGTGCTCCCCCCGCCCCGTAATCTCTGTATTAGGTTGATTACCTTGCGCGTTCCGTCGGTACCTTGTCTCCCCTTGATAAACCCCACTTGGTCCTGGTGAATGATTGCCGGGAGAATGTTAGCTAATCTGTTTGCGTATATTTTAGCAATTATTTTTATGTCTGTGTTTAACAGAGAGATCGGGCGTAGGTTTTGCCCTTTGTTTGGGATTTTGCCTGGTTTAGGGAGAGTCGTGATGTGTGCCATAAGCATATCTGCTGGCATTTCCCCCTGTGCGGTCATTGTATTGTATGTTTGGAGGAGTTGTGGTGCTAGGGTGTGCGCATATAATTTATAGTAATTGTTTGGGAAACCGTCTGGGCCTGGTGATTTGCCCGGGGGAAGTGACATTGTTTGGATAATTTCTTGTTCTGAGATCGGGGTTTGTAAGGTTTCCAGATGGTTCTGGGGAATTTGCGGTAGGGATACTTTTGCTAAGAGGGATTGGATCTCAAGCGCAGTGGGTTGGTGCGTTTATGCGTCTGTTTTTAGATTATAGAGTGTAGTGTAGTATTTGGCTAGTTCATCAACTATGTTTTGTGGATTGTACAGTTTTTTCCCCTCTGTGGTTAAGATGTATGGGATCTTATTTTGGGCGTATCTGAGTCTTAATTGTGTGGCAAGTAGTTTGCCTGTTTTGTTATTCTGGTTGTAGTTTCGTATTTTGAGTTTTTGCATCATGTATGATGTTTTTGACATTGCTATTGTGTTTAGTTGATCCGTCAGGTTCTCAATTTTTTCCATTAGGGTGTCTGTAGGTTGTATATAGTGTTGTGCTGTGGCGTCTCTAAGGTCTCTTAGGATCGTAATTTGTTCTTTTTGTGCTTGCTTTTTAAGGAATGATGCGCGGCTTAAGAGGAGCCCTCGCATGACTGATTTGTGAGCTTGCCAAATCGTTATAGGGGAAGTTTCGTTGTTGTTATTTGTGGAAAAATATTCTGTGAGCTCTTTTTGGATGAAATTGCGGAAGGTATCATCGCGCAGCAGGGATTCGTTCAATCTCCAGGGGGCATACCCTCTGGATGTAAACTGTGTCGTTATGGACATGACGTTGGGCGCATGGTCCGACCATACTATGTCTCCTATTTCACAGTGTAGTACTTTCCGGAGGAGAGGTGCGGTGGAGAGAATGTGATCTATTCTGGAGTGTGTTTTGTGGACTTGGGAATAGTGGGAGTACTGACGATCTGCTGGGTGTAGGGCCCTCCAAGTGTCGTAGAGGTTAAACTCCATTATCAGTTTCGTCATAGATTGGCATTGTGGTTTGAGGTGTTGTTTGCGGGATTGTGAAGTGAGCAATGATGTGTCTAAGGTATGGTCTAAGATATGGTTTAGGTCCTCGCAGACCATCGTGTATTCAGTTTTGATGGGCTCGAGTTTTGAGAGGACTTTGTGGAGGAAGTTTCTTTGTTGTGTGTTGGGGCAATATATGTTCACTATTGTGTACTTAACATCATTGATCATGCATGGAACTATTAGAAATCTTCCCTGGCCATCCGTGATCAGCTTGAGTAGCTCAAAGGAGAGGGATTTGTGGATAAGCAGGGAGACTCCTCTGGCTTTGGAAGTGTGTGCGGCGTGGAATTGTATGGGGTATTCGGTAAGGCCAAATTTGGGGATGCGGAGTTTCACAAAGTGTGTCTCTTGTATACATACGAGATCTGCTCTGGTCCGTTTGAGATCTTCCAGTAGTTTGCTGCGCTTGTGTGGAGTATTGAGGCCCCTTGCATTGTGTGAGTACATTTTCATGTTTGGAGATGTCTGCGTATGGGATGGGTGCTTCACGGCCATTTGTGCGGGTGTTTGAGGCATAATTTCCCATTGGCTCTTAAGTTGAGGGGTGTGGTTCTGTTTTTGGAGGTGGCAATTTGGGTGGGTCTCTGGCAATTTTTAATATATCTTTTTCAATAAATTCTTTTTTGTTTTTCGATTTGTATGTTCAGCCTCCTATCGGTATTATTACTCATAGCACTTCTTATGTGTTTCTAGCACCCCAATACGGGTATACTACCTTCATACTTTCCTTTTGATTCCACTAGGGGTTACCCCCCTTCTCCTTAAGTATACCAGAGTGAGCTGTACCCAATCTGTTTCTTGTAAAAGATGGTAATAGCACATCTTGTATTGTGAATGGAAATTTTTTCTTATTATTTATTTTATTTATATATTTTGTTGTTGCTGTTTCTCTGTAACTTGAAAAAGTGAAATAAAGATTTAAACATGAAAAAAAAATGCTCTTTTAAATGTAGTACTTGTAAATTTCAGATCAAGAAAACCACTGGTTTTAAGAGCTATATTTCAAGAGAGATTTTAAAAATTAAACACTTTATCAGTGACCACAACAAAAATTGAGGTCATTTATTGCAGTGGAAACGTGATATCCAATATTTAATTAGGACAATAAGAAGACAGCACAATTATTAGAACACTTCAGTGGAATAATCTGAAAATGTACAAGTAATTTTCTCATGATTTATGTATGGGCAGTTTTCTAACTCTTTTCTATACGTTTTTTTGGTTTGATCATCTTTGAAAGAATATGTTCGTTAAGTACCATGCTTAAGAGATGTTGGAATATCATTCTTGTTATCTTATTTATATATAATGTGTTTGCAGGTATGCACATGCATATCTAACAAGTGGTCATTTAACTTTTAAATTGCAATTTTAGTGCAATGAGTTACAAGCTTAAACTTTGCATTTTTTTGCCATTACATTTGTAATCTAATATAACAATAGTCAGCATCAGCGCACTGCAAAATAGAAGAGCGACTGGAAGAAACAACACAAGCTCATAACGCAGTGATTGAGTGGGTGAATCGTATGACGTTACACCTGGTGGAAACCGACCTAGCCCTAGAAGATATGGCGAACCGATCGCAGAGGAACAACCTCCGCCTTCGGGGCCTCTCCGAGGGGAAAGACGAAGACCTAAAGGGGATCCTGCTCTCCATCCTGAAGCCTCTCCTCCCTAATCTCCCAGAGGAGCAGTGGCACATGGAGAGGTTACATAGGGCCCTGAGAACCCAGAGGGCAGACACAAATACCCCGCGGGATGTGATCATTCGCTTTCTTGGCACCGTCGACACTCCAACGACGGAGGGAGTGGTGGCATATAACAGAGGCTCTACGAGGAGTTTGCCTGAAATACGCATGGGGATTCCCCTTCAAGTTAATGGTATTCCGGGGAGACTGGTTGCATATACTAGCACCGGGAGGTGACCCTCAACGATTATTCAGGAGCCTTGGGCCTAGCTACCATCGTATTGCTACCCAAGCCCAACAAAGACACGCTCCAGCCAGAAAATTACAGACCCATATCGCTGATCAACCAAGATCTGAAAATCTTGGCGAAAATCCAAGCTGAACCCACTGATAAACTCACTCATACATGCAGACCAAGTAGGTTTCATTCAGGGCAGACAATTGTTTGAGAATACCAGGAGGAACATAGACCTGATTTGGAAACAAGCGGCCTCCAGGACACCCATTTTAGTGGTCTCCATCGATGCAGAAAAGGCCTTTGATAGGGTGAGGTGGCAGTTTCTGTTTACGGTGTTGAGACACCTAGGCTTCCCGGAGGAATTTATAACGATCATGAAAGCGATATATCATGAAGTGCGGGCACAGGTTTAGATTATGGGTGCTCCACTGAAGCCATTTAGGCTCTACAACGGAACCAGGCAGGGGTGCCCACTCTCCCCCCTCCTTTTTGTGCTAGCACTGGAGCCTTTGCTGCAAGCGATAAGACAGCATCCAGGAATTGGAGGAGTAAGAGTAGGAGACAGAGAGTTCACCATTTCGGCATACGCAGATGACGTCATCCTGACCATTACGAACCCCATGGAATCTATGTCAGCACTGCAGGACATGATAAAAGATTATGGGGAAGCATCTGGATATAAAGCTAACATGCAAAAGTCCAGCGCTATGCCAATCGGCCTGCAGGAGGCTGAAGCAAGTCGGATACAGGAGACCCGGAACGCCTGTACTCTGCCAACTATGGTCCCTTGCTTAGGACCTTGACAAGAGACTTAGAAAGGTGGATTAAAGGAAAATTACTCGTTTTCCTGGCACTATAGTGCCATGATAGGTGCCACCACCCTCAGGGTCCCCCTCCCGCCAGGCTGGATGGAGAGGAAAGGGTTTAACATACCTCTTTTTCCAGCACCGGGTAGGGAGCTCTCCTCCTCCTCTCCTCCCTCTTCTCCTCCTCTTCGGCTGAATGCGCATGCGCGGCAGGAGCCGCTCGCGCATTCAGCCAGTCCATAGGAAAGCATTTATAATGCTTTCCTATGGACGCTGGCGTCTTCTCACTGTGATTTTCACAGTGAGAAATGCGGAAGCCCTCTAGCGGCTGTCAATGAGACAGCCACTAGGGGCTGGATTAACCCTAACATAAACATAGCAGTTTCTCTGAAACTGCTATCTTTATAGAAAAAAGGGTTAACCCTAGATGGACCAGGCACCCAGACCACCTCATTAAGCTGAAGTGGTCTGGGTGCCTATAGTGGTCCTTTAACTCTGTAAAAATAAATATCCTCCCACGTATCCTATTCTTATTCCAAGCATTGCCTGTCCACGTCACTAAAACACAATTGACACCGCTACAAAGATCGATAGGAGACTTCATTTGGCAGAAAAAGAGGCACCGGATATCTAGACAAGTTCTTTACAGACGTAAAGACAGGGGGGGATTGGGCCTGCCAAACTTATACTTTTATTACTTTTCGGCCCAACTGACGCAGGTGGCTATGTGGCACCCCCCGCCGGAAGAAAGAAGATGGGTAGAAATAGAATCCATGCTGGGGTCCTGGGACGTCCCCCAATTTATTATGTGGTCCCAAAGAAACATAGACCTATGATACGAGTGACTTGCCCGGCCATACTCAACTCACTCCAAATATGGGACACAAACAAAATCAAGCATGGACTGGCTGCCTCCACCTACCCCCTAACTCCAATTCTTAGAAATATAGAATTTCAACCCGGAATGGTCCCAGAGATTTTCGAAATTTAGAAAGAACAGGACTACAGCGGATCCACCAGTTATATCGCAACGAGAACCTCGTCCAATTTGAGGAACTTCAACAAGATAACCACTTAACCCCAACGGATTTCTTCAGATATATTCAGATACGTGATTTCGCTGGAAAATCACACATAAAAGCAGCAGCTCAGGGAAGACTGACTTTTTATGAGAAACTATGCTTAGACGGAGTGGCCCCCAAGGGCATGATAACACTCATGAATGCCCACCTAAGTGCGGAAAACAAAGAATGGGGAAGGTTGACTTACGCCGACCAATGGGAAACAGATCTGGGAGAAGTGTTGGAAGGGGTCGAATGGCAAGAAATATGGGAAGCAAATAAAAATGTTTCTATATGTGTCACACTCCAGGAACAGACGTGGAAAACCATGTTCAGATGGTACACTAAAACTGTATAAAATGCACAAAATGGACACAGATGATTGTTGGAGGGGTTGTGGAGCCCGAGGAACATACATCCACATGTGGTGGGAATGCCCGAAAATAAGCAGATTTTGGAAGGCAGTTGAGGATTTACTGAAACAGACATTTAACAGGCCCCTAATTCTGGATCCGTGGGTATATTTATTGAACAGATCAATCGACGGGTGGACCAAGAGAGAGCAGAAATTAGTCCATAAAATAACTCCATATAGCAACCGCATGGCTCTCACCAGAGGGCCTGGAGTTTCTGGGAGTGATATCCAGGATACAGGGCCAGATTAACATAGGGGCTGATGGAGCTGCAGCTCCAGGCCCAAGCCCATGGAATAGGCCCATAGATTTAAAAAAAAAAAAAAAAAAAATACTCTTAGGGTTGCCAGGTACTTCTCAGGTATCTCTTAGGGTTGTCAGGTAGGGTTGCCAGGTATTTCTCAGAAGTATTTTTCAGGTATTTGAGGCTGCCTAGCCGGTGCTGGTATTGCAGTAAAACCGGCAATACAAATGTCAGTCTCAGTACAAACAGAGATTATTCTGCAATACCAGCGCCGGCCAGTAGGGGTCATGTTTGTGTGGA